TGTTTTACTGTATTTTCCCTTTTTCGTTTAATAAATTGGGTAATACGAGTGTATAAAAAAAAAAAAAAAAGGATAGCACAGGATGGGAGGAAGGCTTATTAAGAACAACCTGTTTGTTGAAAGGGAGGGGGACTTGAAACACTTGCTACTGAGGATTAAGGATTGTAGCCTTCAGTGTAGGTTACAACTCAATTTTTAAAAGCCCAAATCCTCAAAACTGGACCAATAAGTAATTCAACAATAAACAGAGACAAGATTGAAGCTGCGAATGATTTCATCTCCCTTGTATCCACAATCAATGTTCATGGAAGCAGCAGTCAAGAGACCAAAAGATGTGCTGCCTTAGGTAAATCTGCTTACCAGGGCTCTTGAAAGTGTTGAAAACCAAAGATGTGACCCTGAGGATGAAAGTGTGCCTGACCGAAGCCACAGTAGTTTTAATCACCTCATGAACACCTGAAAGTTGGACATTGAACATGACAATCCACCATGTGAATTATGGTGCTGGTGACAAAGATTGTAAGTCCTACGGACTACCAAAAGAACAAACCAGTCTGTCTTGAAGAAGTACAGCCAGAATGCTCCTTAGGAGCAATAATGGCGAGACTGTCTCACATACTTTGGACATATTATCAGCATGGACCGGCCCTGAAGAAGGACATCAGACTTGCTAAAGTAGCAGGATAGCACCAAAGAGGAGGACCTTGGACAAAATGGATTAGCACAGCGGCTACAGGGATAGACTCAACAGAAGAACCATGTGGTCGCTAGGTAAGAACTGATTCGATGGCTCCTAGCAAAACTGAGTATGAATTTTCTTTCCTTTTATATATGTAACAGATAAAGAAATAGCAGACAGGGATGACTATAAACTACTCTATGGTGAAGAACTCTAATGCTTTCAGATTGTGTTATAAGTCAACTTGATGCCACAAGTCTTGAGTTTAGGCTTTGGAGGTCAGAGTTGATCATAGGAGACACATATATATAATTTTATTGGGAGCTCAACAACAGCTCTTATCACAATACATACATATATCCATTGTATCAAGAACATTTGTACATTTTTTGCCATCATCGTTTTCAAAGCATAGGATACATTATGATTGAGAGAAGGCACACTTTCTTATTGGCCTATTTGAGGATGTGCAAACGTTTTCTTCAGTGCATCAGAACTAATGTTTACATAAGAAGGTGTTTATTACCAGCCCATGTGTCCTATGAAGCTTCAATTCTTGGTTCAGATAAGCCCCATGTAGGTGGTGTCATGGGGGAAATATGTATATTAGTAGTTTTCAACATTGACTGCACACCAGGGAATCACCTGGGAACTTAAAAAACAAATTGAATGTCATTACTTCTTCTTCTTTTTAAAAATCATTTTATTAGGGATTCATACAACTCTTATCACAATCCATACATACATCAATTGTATTGAGCACATTTATATATTCATTGCCCTCATCATTCTCAAAACATTTGCTCTCCACCTAAGCCTCTGGCAACATCAGATCCTCATTTTTTCCCCTCTGTCCCCACTCCCCCTCCCTCATGAACCCTTGATAATTTATAAATTATTATTTTGTCATATTTTGCACTGTCTGACGTCTCCCTTCACCCACTTTTCTGTTGCCATACCCCAGGGAGGAGGTTATATGTAGATCGTTGTAATCAGTTCCCCCTTCCCTACCCTCCTTCCCTCCACCCTCCTAGTATCTCCACTCACACCACTGGTCCTGAAGGGATCATCTGCCCTGAATTCCCTGTGTTTCCAGTTCCTATCTGTACCA